TTTTTTTTACATTGATATTGATATATAAATATTAGCGTATTTGATATATAAGAAAGAATACATTACTATTGATTTTGTATATGAACTATGTCATTGTTTCTCTTTTTCTTTCTAATTGCATTAAAACACTACACACACTCTAAATATATTTTGCTCTTTTCATTTTTACTAGTATGTACCACGTGCGATGCACAGGACAACCTTGTCCGTTTAAGTCTAAAAAATAATAGGGTATTATCTATTTTCTACCTCTTTTAATCAACGTTAAGTCTTAAAAAACAATAGGTTTATAAACTTTTTTCTACATCTTCTAACCAGCGTTGTTTTTTTAGCCATAACATTAAATATGAGCATGTTAGGGCTAGGTCGTAAAATAAATAATATATTATCTCACTAAAACATTTTTTTTTTGCCGAAACGATAGAGGTATTATAAATCAAAACGCACAACTGTGCGAAAAAGCAGCCCAAGGCTTAATATTACAACCAAGAACTAAAAACTGAGAGGACGGATCGAAATACCGCCTAGAGTCTCGCTAGCCACGCTAGAATAGAAAAACCTACTACAAACAACTAAAAGACACCAACACAACAAGGATCGCTCCCCACGGGAGAATAGGATCGCTCCCCACGGGAGAATAGGATCGCCCCCCACGGGGGAATCAGCACAGAAGCCAACGGCTCAGACAAAAAACACAAGACAAAAACAAACACAGATACTACAACACAAAACAAGAAGATAATAACTAAAATAAACTAAAAGCCCTTCCCCACTAAAACATTTATACTAATATAAATATAATTTTGGCGTATAAATTTATCTCTTGATATAAGAGAATGTAATAATTTTACTTATTCTTGTTTACCATATAATATTTAATAATTATATTATTATATAATAAAAAGAATATTGTTAAATAGTGTAATAGAATTGTTATAAAATTATACGATTTTTTTTTATTTATTTATTTTTACAATATGGATTGAATATCATTTTATGATTTTATAATATAGCTGTAATACATTCTTAATGATATAATAATATGAAATACAAATTTACATAATACTATAGATTTATCTTTAATGTTAAAATATTAGGTGATATATAATTCACTAATTCTTAATCTGTCTTTTTTTATATTGAAAATAATCATGTGATTGAGTAAAAATAACAATTATCTATAAATTTCTTCATTTAAGACATAATTTTTAAATTGGCCCAAGTGTTGAATGTAACTCGATTTTCTTGTAACTAAAATGGGAAGCAATTTTGAATTTCAAATTTTCACTTTAAAACTACACGTAAATTTGGATGCAGATTTTGTTAAAAATGAATTCAACAAAACCCATAATTTTAGGTGTATTTAATGCTACCCTATTTTATGATTTAAAAAATCTAAAAATTTTCTAAATATGGTGTGCAATTAACTATTAGTTGACTTTTCTTTCTACTAATTCTAGTAAATGGGATGACTTTTTATATAAGTATAGATTTTAATATGGTATATACTTGATCCTCGAATTGTTTACATATATTTTTTAAGTATTAATTTCTTAAATTCATGTGGAATAAACACACTAATAACTATTTTAGACTATTTTATTCTAAATAAATTTTATTATATAAACATTTACTATATGAATAACTTTAGACTAATTACTTATTTTAAGAAAATGTTACATAATATATTTTTGTTTTTATATATGCAATATTATTTAAGCAAATAAAATTCTAAATTAGGTAAAAACAAAATAATTGACTGTAAATTTTTGAAAAGTTTAATGTCAAATAATTGATATCATGTTACTAAAAATAGAAATAACAATAGAATTAAATAGAAATAAAATAATTGATTCAAATTTTAAAAGTTTAGCTAATAGATTTAATTAAAATTACATTACCTTAAAATAAAAATAAAAATCTCACAATGGTGAAGAAAAAAATGCCAAGTGAAAATAAAAATAAAAAAAGATATTTAATTAGTAAAAAACATTTTTTGGTAGATTATTTTTAGTAAACAAACATTTTCATATTAAAATAAATAGATTACGGGGTGCATTCATTTGAGATTTATAAAGATTATTTAACATTTTAAAAATCTTGGTGTATTTAATTAAATTTTGTAAAACTTTTAAAAGTCTTGGGTTAAAAAAGATTTACAAAATCGTGAGATAGTTATTTATTTGAGACTAAGATTTGTTAAGACTTTTTAAATTTTTTTTTGAATTTTTAAAGAAAAAACCTTATACAAAATTCTATCCCCACACTTATTTAGATTTCACATAATTCCTTTAAAATTTGAAGATATTAAAAACTGTCAAATCTGAAAAGTATGAAAATATAACTCAAAATTTCGATGGTTTATTTAGAGAATCAAAAGCATTTTCCAAAAACCCCAAATCGCCTTCGTCTTCAACCTAGCCTCCGCCCGATTTCGCTGGTTTGTGCCTCTCTCAGCTGCCGTCCGGGCTTGTCCGTGGACGGCCCTCCGCCTCACATCCATGGATCTAGTCGTGGTGCCCTCTTCATTCGTCTCAAGCCGAAGCATGCCAGTCGGATGTTCGGCAGTTCCTCTCACCTTGGTGAATCTCGCCGTCTGGGGCGGTGGGGCTCGGTGGGGTGCGGCGCCAGTGGGTCGAGGTGGCTTGGTTTACTTGCGTCGCCACTGGGGCGGGACGACTATCTTTGTCGGGTTCCGCGAATGGGCTCCATCTGGATCTCTATCTTTTGTCGGGTAGCCACGTAACTTCCGGTTACTGGTACATCAATGCGGTAGGGGTGAGAACATGGGTTTGTGTTGTGGGCTCGGTGGAGTGCTTGTTGTTTGTTCGGGCGAGGTCGGAGCAATTGGGCTTTGCTGCCATTTTTCCTCTTTCTCCTTTTTTCTCCGTCGTTGAGTCCTAGGAAGACTCGCCATTTCCAGAATTGGCTAGTGGTGTTAGTCAGGTTTAGGTCGGTGTTGGAATTGGCTAGTGGTGTTAGCCGGTTGGGGGGCGATTGTGGCTGCTTGCGGTCGGAGTGCGGGCCGGTTTCTCTAGTTTGGTTCGGGGCTTAGGTCTTTGTCTTTGCTAGGCTTTAGGCAGTGGCGAGCGTGGTTCCTATGCTTTGCATCTCTCCTTGGAGTCGGTCTATGTCTGCTGTTCAATTCGGATGTGTTGCTGAGGGAGGGCTATAGTTCTTTTGTTTTAGATGTTTTGATTTGTTTTAGGTTTGTTGTTAGTTTGTTTGCTTTGTGTTGTTAGGTCTTGTATTTTTGGTTTGGGTCATTGGCATCTGTCTGTGTCAAAGTGAGAGCGGGTGTTATCCCTTTGGGATCGTTTCTTTCTTATTCTCCTTTTAGTTGGGATCGTTTTTTTTCTTATTCTCCTTTTTGGAGCTTTTTAGTTTTTATTAGTTTATCGTGTATGTAGTGTTGTGAGTTTGTGTTTTGAATTCTAGCATTGTTAGTGTCGGGATTCTAGACGATCTTCTGACATGGCCTCCCACTTTTTTAGCTATTGGTTGTTCCATTCATCTAGGAGTTGTGTATTTGCGTACTTGTGCATTTTAAG